CCATCTGTTACAAGTTCATTTCCAAACTGTTTTCAACACAGTCAATTTAAAAGACGAAGAAAAAAAATCAATTACATATCAGTGTTTAAGCCGACAGCTAGCTCTCTGCAACTCTCACATTGTCGCCCACTGAAGCTAAACAGGGCTGTGCCCAGTAAATATGGGAGACCACATCGGAAAGCTACTGTAGGTTGTTGTCGGAAGTGGTGTTAATGAGCCCAGCAGGGAGTGCTCAACCTGCAGTCTGTCTGGGTTCTAATACCCCAGTATAGTGAAGGGGACTCTATTGGTCAGTGAGTACCATCTTTCGGATGAGACGATAAACTGAAGTCCTGACTCTCTGTGGTGTTTGAAAAAGATTAGGGGTTTAACCCTGGCATCCCCACTGGCCTCCGTCCATAATGGCCTTCTAATATGCCCTTATCATAAACTCCTCCCCACCAATCAGCTAGTTTGTGGTGTGCAGTCTGTCACAATATGGCTGCCGTCACATTACACTGGTGCTGCACACTGGTGGTGGACGAGGAGATTACCCCCAATTTGGAAAGCGTTTTGTGTCTAAAAAAGCGCTATAAAAATGGAAGTAATTATTATTATAATTATTATACCATATAATATCCATATTTAAATGTTATACATTGATTCATGAATAATTTCTTCGTAAAGGCTTAATTAATAATTTGTTAAAAAAAGATTGTCTGTCTGTCTGTTTGACACACGCACACACACACACACACACACACACACACACACACACAAACAACCATGTATACGTATGATTGGTATAGGTCTCTGTTTACAGAATGCTTGTGTTTCCATGACTGAAATCTTTTTTAAATTCATGACAGTCAGTTATTTGTGAATTTAGTTTATTGTGAAAAAGTGATCTGATAAAAGGCATTGTTCACCCTGAAAGGAAAATTCTGGCATCATGTATTCATCCTCCGCTTGTTCCAAAACTATTTGAGTTCCGTTCTTCTGTTGAACATGAAGAATTACTGAAGAATGTTGCAAAGCAGCAGCCATTTAATTCCACAGTATTTATTGTTCCTGTATACATTTATAAAAGTTTAGAACCACTTAGGTGTGAGTAAATGGTGTTGAAAATGTCATTCTTGTGTGAACTTTCCTTTTAAGTCCACCATATTAAATGACTGAATAAGGATATGTGCATATTTGTGTGTTAGAATACCATTTTAACATGCTGTATGACGTTCTTTTCCAAATGCTAATAATGCCTTAATAATAACAATAAAAATAATTCTTTACATTTATGTAGCACTTTTTTTGGGTACTCAAGCACTTGACAGCTATATAGGGGAACCTTCTCATTCACCACCAGTCTACAGCATCCACCTGCTGGATGATGCAATGGCAGAAATGTTGTGCCAGACCACACATCTCATTGGTTGAAAGCAGACAGATTTATGAAGCCAACTAGAATATGGGGATGGTTAGGAGGCCATGATGGACAGAGGCCAGTAGGCAAATTTGGCCAGGATACCAGTGACACACACCTATTCATTTCAAAGAACCTTCTGGGATTTATAACGATCACAGAGAGTCATGACCTCTGATGAGATTAAAATCTCATCTGAAAGATGGTGCTCACTGAACAGTATAGAGTCCCCTTCACTATACTGGGGTGTTAGGACCCATACAGATAACAGGTTAAGCACCCCAATGCTGGCCTCACTAACACCTCTTCCGGCAGCAACCTAGCTTTCCCATGTGGTCTCCTATCAAATTACTAACCAGGTTGCAGCCATGCTTAGCTTCAGTAGGCGACCATGTGAGAGTTGCAGAGAGACACATTTGCACATATTGGATATTGATTCATTTTTGTTATTTTTGTTCTTGAATTATTATTTATCAGTAATAGTCATTGGTAAATGACATTTAAAATTTAATTTATATTTACATTATTTTATTTTATATTTTTGCTTAGAATTAAAAAATATATATTTTATAAGGATATCTTTACATCATGTACACAGTTCACGATCACACTTTATTTTGATGGTCTGTTTGTTGAATTTAAGTTACATTGCATATATATGCCAACTAATTCTCATTAGATTATAAGTAGACTGTTAGGTTGGGGTTAGGGTTAGTATAAGTTTCTTATAGTCAGTTAAATGTCTGTTGAAGGGGCAGTGTCAACAGATATTAAGCAGACAGTCTACTAATACTCAAATGGACCATCAAAATAAAGTGTTCCTCAATTCACCACGGGTTTTAAAGGATTGGGATGATTTAGTTCTTATTTTAAAAACAAAAAACAAAAAAAAACACCCTCTACTAGATTTACTGTCTTGTTTGTAAAAGCTAGTACATTCATTTCACAGTTACCAATAGGAACGGAAGGCTATAGTACATTCAAAATATACATTCGTTTAACTGTGCTATGCGGGGAAGAGAGCGAATAGCCAGGCAAATATTGAATAAGCCTGTGAGCTGTCACAAACAATGATCTACATGCGCGAGTGTGTCCTCGTACTGCTGTTGGAAAGTAAACTTTTATAAGGGAAGCTGTTGAGGATGAGTGTTCAAAGAGAAGAGAGCATGATTAAAGGCTAACCAGCTTCCATTTGCAGTTCTACCAGATATGAGGGAGATTTTGTCCTCTTGTAGGAATTTACTGAGCTTAACGAGAATATATGAGATGAGACGGTGGCTGAAATGCACAGAGAGGAAACCCATAAGCATCATGGCCGTTCAAAGATAGCAAGCAAAACAATGCGCTGAGAGAAACAGAGGAACTGCAGAGAGAGGCTTGCCAAGAGAGGCTTTCTGAGATATTTGATTGCAGAATTGCTCCTGAATTACCTTGGCAAGAATGCAGGTTACACTCCATAGACGGGCAGAGGAAATCATGCCAGGAGAGCAGTGGGTATCATTACGCTATCATGTTTGCAGCGTTCATTGTGTTTGCAAGCAGTGCATTGCTCTGCTGTTTTGTTAATGGCTTTTCTTCTTCTTCCTTTATCCTCTCTTGGAGCATTGGTGGATAGGTTTATTGTATTTTAAATGAAAGATAATTAGTCTACATTATGCACACAGCCGACCTCGAGTAAGCTGAGAAAATGAAGCTTCTTAAAGGACCAGTCCGCACATAAAATTCATCATTTATTCACACTTATGTTGTTGACTTTCTTCTTTCTTCAAATGTTATTTTAAAAAAATTCTAATGGCTTTCACAATATTTTTCCTATTATGAATGTCAGTGGCTACAGATTTCCAGCTTTCTTCGATTTTTTTTTTAATGTTAAAAAAAAAATGTATATATATATATATATATAATAAACACAAAAACAACACAGAGAGAGGCATGTAATGGTAAAAAGATGCAGAAATAGTAGTTTCATGTCTGCCTTTTTAGTTAATCCCCTTTTATTTTATTCTTTTTCACTTTTATAAATGTCCTAGACAATATATTTAAGGAAAGGTAGAATGATAGAAGTAGTAACACATCAATTACAACATATTTACAACAAAGTTTCACAAAATGGCACATAGTTAAACGGAAATCAACCATAACAGTACATTATAAACTTGTGAAGCAACAAAACATGTGGGTATACACAATTACCAATGATTAATATTAATTAAACACACCCAGCATTACATTAAAAAAGTAAGCATATGGTGTACACATCTGTATGGCCTCAACTGCAATGCTGAAGTAGACATTTTGAAATATTCTGAGGATGTTTTTAATGTTTTGTTTATCATTATAAATCAGACATGGAATGCAAATGATTCCATTTCCACTTCACCACTGGAGAGTAAACTGATTTTTAAAAGAAAGTTTTGTAAGAACAGTTTACCTGCGTCTCTGGCTTGCAAATAAATATCAAAAGGGAGAAAGCAATGTGTGCAATTGAAAGAATTCCTGATCTAGAAAACTAGCTTTCAAATATTAATTACATATCATACCAGCTTACTAATTATGAACAGGAAAGGAGTTTTCACATCAGGAGTTTTAAACCTTGTTTATGCACAGAATTCAGTGTTTAGGGTGTAAATCTTTGGTGCTTTCAAGTAGCTAGACTTAAGTTTTTTGCTAAATCAAAAGCACATAATTTGTGCTGTGTTAATAGCATCATTTGATTGCAGGACTGTCTGTTGTAGTGTATTAAATTGATGTTTTGGCTCCACAACTCCTGTTTATATCGGTCCAGACCTCTTCTCTGAGTGCCAAAGGCTGCTCTTTGTAAACTGACCCTAATGGAATGGTCATAGTTGGCAGGATCAACAATATAATTGCCCTTAAAAGCAGAAAGTGACAAGAGTCTGCTTGGACAGAGGATCCCTTGTGCAAATAAGCTTGAATTTAAGTGTAGCTCTGCTAAGTCAGCACAAGGCAGCTCAATAGACACCAGTCCATAGCAGACATCGTTTACAAAAAGAATCAGAGAGGTTAAGCTCAGCTCAGGTTTGCTTGATATGTAAATAATCCCACCCTAAAACAACACAAATATGACAAATTTCATTTCAATGGTTTGACCATGTCTGGACCGAGCTGTTTGGTTTGTTTTGTTTCAGTCTCTATGAACAACACTTTTGGCTTCCTTCTAAAATTTGGGACTGAATTTACACAATTAAATGTCCGCTCTTTGATGACCTGCCCATCTTGGCTCCTGAAATGGACCTAAAAAGGTTGTGAGCTGAGCTTGCGTGACACTTAACGGCCAGCAACTGTGTTTTCAGCAACTGAAAACACACAAAACACACACTACCCAGCTGTCCTGCTGCTCCCCACTGGGCCCTGGCACAAACAAAACTCATTTGGCCTCGGCTCCCCTGATTTGAACACAGTGTCCATGGAGAGAGAGCTTCATCTTTCCACAGTCAAGTGCACTTGGCAGCCAATTAATGACAAAAGGATGAAGGAAAAAACGCTTTCTGTGGCACTTTTTGCTGTGACCATTTCATTGATCGAGTGGACGATTAAACATCAAAAAGGACAGGTAATGGATCTAACTCCCACGAGCTCCATCAAGTTGTTGTTTTCTTTCACTAAAATGTGAAGAAATTGCGTTTTGAAAGCATGCGTCTGAGCGTTATTTACAGCTATGGTCTCTTAAAGACCTTTTCTTCTTTCTGAGAGAGTGAAACATTCTGCCATAGGATCCAGTGCCAACTGAAGAGCATCGGTGCCAGCTCCTTTTCATTCTTCACAACAACCGATGGCATTATTTAGTCTGCTGTGTTGCTAAAAACAGGCTCATCGATGCTCAATGACACTCGGCTCACCAGATCTATGGGACCACGCATAAGCATTCTGACATCATACTCTCTCAGACACTCTTGAGTAGCAGATGAGCATTCTGTCACTTCAGACGGAAGGAGCTTCTGCTGAAGATGAAAGCCTTCCATGGGAAACAGGTGAACTCCAAACGTCCATGTGATGCTGTCATACTTGATGGTTGTAGTGGAGAATGTTTTTTTTTTATTTGTTTTTTTTTTACATTTTGTTTATTGGGTTTTTCCAAGTTAAACACAAAGTACAGAATAATCTAAATAGATCTTTCATCCACACACATACTGCCCTATACATTTCCTAAACCTCCACCCTGTAGTGCCACAAATAAGCCATGAATAAAATGAAACAAGAAAACATAAAAAAAAAGTCAGGTTCTAAGCATTCTGTCCTGTTATACTTAAGTGAGATATGAAGCTGCGCCAGTATTTGAAAACATGTCTTGCCACTTTTTTTCTAAACGAAATGCAATTTTTTCCAAAGGCATATAAGACAACACTTCTTTAATCCACATGGAAGTAGACGGTGGTTTGAAATCCTTCCATCTCAAAGTTATACATTTTTGGCTGCTATTAGGGCCATTCTAACAAATCTAAAATTAATGCATTGTTGATCACGTAGTGTAGTATCTCCTAAGAGGGTAAAGGCTCTTACACACCAGGACGCTTTTCGTTTGCGTTTATCGTCAAGACGTTTTTTTCCAGATTCAAACCCAAGCGATTTTCACTGTCGTCAAGCAGAAGAGTATGCAAAATCTCTTTGACGTTAGATGACGCTACACAACTTTAAGCTTCTGACGCCTACTTGTAACACAGAAGAAGAAGACAAAGTTGACTCGCTTATTGTTATGGGTGGTTCAAGCAGCAGCTCCAGCTCTACGTTTTTATCGCCTCAGGGCATCGTCTATAATGTGCGCTCGCATTGACAGTTTTGGACTTGAGCGCCTCCAAGTGCTTTTTACTGTAACATCAGCAGCTCCGTGCACATGAACAAAAATGCAAACCTGATTTTGGTTGGAGAAGGTTTTAACGCGACGCGTCAAAACAAAACAAAAAAAAAAAAAAACGAGCATGTGGCGTCCTTTTTTAAATTACGTTTTTGCGTCTGCCGTTTTGCACATTGGTGTGCACGATCACATTGACGCCCTTTATTTAGTCAAAAAGCATTAAACGTTGACGGAAAACGCGAGCAAAAATCGTCCCGGTGTGCACGTTAAAAGGAGCTTGCACCTACATTTTAACATTTTTTAAAACACAAGAATACAAAGTTCAATTTACTGCAGTTATCAGCTCAAATGAACATATTTCATGATGTTTTATATAAAATAATAGTAAAAGGACACTTTTTTTTTACCTGATTTCCTCTCACTTTTACCACAGTGCATGATTTGTAGAGTAATTTATATGATGTTTACATACTGTATCAAACCTATAGCTCCAAATGTATGGCTTTTCCAAATACACTAAATTTGCTTGGTAGCTAAGCTGGTACAGAGTTGCACACACAATGTAGAAATGAGTTTCCTTTAAAACTCAGTACTACTAAATCAGCTGAGCCTGAGAAAAAAATAGGTTCTAACCCTTTTTTATGAAATTGAGATTTGGGTGTTGACTATAAGAAGAAGATTGATGACACAAGCAACTAATATTTGTTTTTCCACAGACCAGGGGTCACCAACCCTGATCTTGGAGATCTGCCTTCCTGCAGAGTTCAGCTCCACACCTGTTTGAAAATATCAAGTGCTCCTAATTAGTTGCTTTAATTGTATTTGATCAGGGTTAGGGTTGAATTGCTGGAAGTTAGATCTCCTCCTTCTTCTTCAAGACAGGATATGAAACTGCATTGAAAGCCTTACTGCTACTCAGTTTGGTGCTTGCAATGCCAAAGTTGTTGGTTTGATTCCCAGGGTAAGCTAGAACTGATAAAACATACCTTTAAAGCATTTTAGGACACTTTGGATCTGCCAAATGTGTTCATGTAAATGTAAAGAAGCCAGTTGAGATGGTTAGGGCATTTGATAAGGAGGCTTTCTGGAAGCCTTCCATTGTACTGTAAGAGTTTTAAAGCATGTGCAACTACAAAGGAATGGTTTACTGTAAATCTCTCATCTGGCCTCTGAATGTCTTGGTGTATGCCCTAAGAGGAGCTGGAGGAAGCTACTGGGAATAATGACGTATGGGTGGTGTTATTTAGTCTGCTGCCTCCATGACTTGGTCCTAGACAAGCTGAGGGGAATGATTCTGATGATGATTTTTTTTATGGGATTGTTTGGATTTATGCTAACACATAAGCATTGCTCTGGTTGCTGAATCTGTTGTACAGAATGTTCCATGGTTATTATTTTTCATTCATGAAATTGTGCAATAATGTTGGTTTTTCAAAGATACAGTTTGCAGAACTTAGTGATTCATGTTAGTGTTGCCAAAATGATTGTTTCTCCAGTGGATCATGATGCAGACATGGATGATTCGTTATCAGTTCAGTAATAAATAATGACTGAATATAACATACCGACATCATTCAATACTGTATGGTGAGGGAGGTAAGATGAAGGTGAAATTAAAACTCTCCAAACAACTGAAAACACTCACAACTATGTACAATTTACTGCTTGTGAGTTTCACTTTCATTAACTGAAGGTGTAATAGAACCCAAGACCCCTACTTTATTGCTAGGGAGGAAATACAGTCATATAGTGTAAAGCTCCTCTGCCTTTTTCTGTCATTCTGGACTATTTCACCCTATGTGTGGCCAATAAATTGAGTTCATGTTTTCTTTAATCTCTTGGTTGTTACAATGATACTTATGGATCCAGATACAAGCGTGTCTGTGTTTTCTCCACCGCATCATTCATCTATGGGCAGATATATCCACAGCCTGGTGATGGATCAATTGATAGACGCAGGTTTCAAATGCCATTTCTGAGCATCTGACTGCAATGACTATTGCTCAACAGCACTCAAAAAGCAAGTAGGAAAATGTTTTTTATTATTATTATTATTTGAGTAGTTGTATCATACACTTAAACTTTTTGTATTTGTTCTAAATGCTCCTGTTGTCTTCTGTGCCTGTACTTGAGTTTTGTTTGATGTATTCAAGAAGTATGTTTTCTTTGAGCAGGTAAAATTAATGGTTCACTTCATATAATGACTGCTTTTTTAAAAAGAAAAAATGTTTTTTTTTTTTTTTATTTCTTCTTTTAAAATTGTGGATGGAATGCATCATTAATGCACCGTGATATCTAATTGAACTGAATCAATGACATGATAATCGTAACCAAACCGTAAGACAACCCTGTTCACCATGTTTACAACCCTAGTTGTGATGTGATGTTAAAATTGCTGCCACCATGTTTTTTATTTGATTATTTATTTACTCAATGATTTAAATATGGAAAAATCATTGTTGACTGCACATTTAAAGGATCAAATGTTGCACAGCTGTAGTCTGGAGATGCATGGCAGCCGTTTGGGCTTGTTCTTGGCTCTGTGGCTCAGTGGCTCAGTGTTTGGAGTCTGTGTTGCCTCATCCAAGGTTTTCATTCCAATCGACCATTGAACTGTGCAAAGTGGCCAGACACTGGCCTGGCCTGCTAGTAATCAGAGAAGCCTGTCTGCCCTAGAGGACAAATAGGATTTAGCATGGCTTGGATTCTCGCTTTCTTCCCAGTGACAAAAAGAGCGCAACCTCCTCATCTTTCCTCCAGCAGCCTAAGACAGTGAGGTCATTTTCCAAGTGTCTCTTGAAAAGGTATCCTTCATCTGATGGTCAGACCTGACCAGACATGAGGATTGCGATGGCAGCAAATCAATCACCAAGGTGTTTAGTGCCATTTAAAGAATTCCTGATTTAGAAAGAAAGCAAATGAGAATGCAGTGACTCATGCCTACAGGATGAGCAAGCTTAGTGTTACAGATGGTCTGGGTAATGCTCTGGACAAATAGGCTATTCTCCTCTGAGATTAGACATTGAAGTCTTGGAAAAGATGATATGTCTGGGGTCAGGAGTGTGTCAACATATGCTCATGCAATCATACACCTCCCCTACATCAAATAGAGTTGGGAAGATAAATTGATAAAAATAAGACAACTCTTTTGTCCACGTAACATGATCATAGGGTTTCACTCTGAAGTCATCATGCTAAAAATAAGAGGCAACGGAAGCCATTTGACAGTTTCAGATTTCTCTAAGGATGAGGTGCTAATGAATTGAAATGACATGAAGTGTCAGATCTACTTATTTGCTGTACCACAGTATTCAACAGAAGCATTTTCTGGTCAAACTTATGAGGAAATTGCTTCCAAGAATATCTTGGTGAAACGTAACATTTGTGTATGTGTACATGTGTGTGTTAATTAGACATTGCAGAGGTTGGCATACATTTAACCACTCGTGTTTTTTTTTTTTATTCACACCAAGCTGTCAAAAAGTCATCTTGTGAACTATTCCTGTCCAAATAACTGTAGTGATGCATTTTAATATTCGTTCCTTAAGATTTTCAGCAGCCAGGGGTCTCCAGATTCTGCTATTTTTCCTTTTTCTTCTTTTTTTTCATGTATTTAAAGATTTGCAATGACAGAACAGTTGTATAGGTGTCTCCTGTCATCATATATATACAGTAATAAAGCCATCTATTAAACAATCGTACATTGGTTAGTGATTTAAGTCTTTTGTGAAGGGCAAAATTAATAGTTGAAAAAAGTCTTTTAAAAACTCCCATAGAGTACTCTGATTTCTGACGCAAGTCATACGTCAGTTTTTCTAAGGGTAAGAAAATCTTATTTATATTGATTTATCCACATATTGACTGAAGGAATGTTAGTAGAGGACCACAACAAAAGACCACATTTTCAGGCTAGATAAGTGCAAAGGTGTAATACAGATTCTAGTCCACGACTAATGCTTCATTCCCACCAGCAGCGACTTTGTAGCTGCCCGTCGCTCTGTGTGGTGTCCTGCTGCAAAGGCAGCTCTGTAAAGGTATATACAGCACGAATACAAGCAGCCTCTGAGTGAGCTGAGAAGGGATCACGTGAGCTCTTATTGTGCTCTTATTGGTTGTTGCTCAAAAAAAGGCACTCCTCGTTTGCATAAAGTTGAAGGATTCTTAACTTTGACGCAGCGC